ATGCGAAACCAGCACGAAATCAGGCCGAATCGGAGCAAACCTTGTTGCGGACGTACATTTGGCGTCATGCGAAAGAACTGTTTTCTGTACGCAGTCTTTTTGACCCGAAACGACTCAAATTTCCAGTTCGACCTGCCGCTTCCTGGCGCTAGTCGGAGAATGTTGTTGGTATGAATAGTGGCTGTGATGATGCTGACGATGATGAGGCTGGTAATAGTGAAGCCAATTAAAGTGTTAATGAAGCTGATTGAGACTACGACGGCAGAGGTTGTTGTTATGGAAATGAGGATGGGATTGGTGCTGATATTGTTAATCCAGTTACGGCCGAGGTTGTCGCTTCTGCTGCTTCTGTTTATGATGATGCTGATGATGATTATTATTATTATTATGGAGTTTTGGGTGATGATATGGAGAGGATAGGAAGATTTTGATGGTGAATTGCAATGGTACTAAGGATGATATAAAAGATTATGTTGATCATAATGATGATGATGATGATGATGATGACAGGGTTTGGGTTGATGGTAGGAATGAGGATATCGTGTACAATGACAATGAGTATGATGAGAAAGAGAATAAAGATGTTGGCGATCATATTGATGATAATGATGATGATGGTGGTGATGGGAATGATGCTTAGAATGAGGATAAGGGGAGGAATGGTGAATTGCAATGGTATTAAGAGTGATGATGATTGTCTGTATGATGAGGAGGTTGATATCTGAAGATGAGGGTGATGATGCTGATAATGATAGTGGTGGTGACAGTAACAATAATAGTGCTTCTGATGCTGGTGTGTTGCGTGAAGTTTTTGAACATGTCGATGGGGGCGCTTTTGATGATGATCTCGAGAGTGATTGCGGTACCACCAATGAAGGTGATTCTGATGCTGATTCTGATTCTGATAATAATTGGCAGAAGTGATGACGATGAGGAGGGTCATGTCTGTGGCAACTATGATGGGATGATTCTGTAGGAAATGATGATGATGAGAATGATGAAACTGCTTTTGCATCAGATGGCGCTAATGATCATGCTGATGCTCACTGACCGGGTCTATTTTACCTCTCAAATAGACTCAATTAAGCAGAAGAAAATTGAAAGGCATATATTGCTTTGCCTAATTGTATTTCGTATGGGTCCTGCTAATTTCGCTCGAGTGGATTTGCATGCGCATGTGCAAAAAAAGCAGAACCAATACAAAAGATAATTTGCCAAGCCATCATGTGCCTTTTAATTATCATTTTCATAATTGAGGTTATATAAGAGGTAAGATAGAGCCGGAGAGGCATTTCGACTTGATGTTTCGTGTATAAGTAGACTTTCGAAAGAGAGAGAGATATATACATATATTATATATTATATATATATAAATAATAGTATATATATATATATATATATATCGTAAATATATGCAATTTGATGAGATACAGATTGATATGGCTAGTTCAAGTCACATGAAAACATAGAAGGATGTGCCTTTGTGCCATTTTGTATGTGTGCATCTACTAAGTCCGCTGTTATAGCGTGAAATCTTTTGTCCGTAACCAAGATTTGATTACTTTTTAGGTGACCATCACTCAGATTGTCTGCTGACTGACACACTTCTGGTTAAGTTGATGAGACTTTTGTCGGTTCGTGTGTGTGTATGTGTGTATGTGTGTGTGTGTGTGTGTGTGAAATGGAGAAAGAGTGAACCAAGACTTGTAGAAAGTGTGATTGTAATTAGAAATGTGGCTTAAGTAGCTATTGGTTGACAGTTTACCGGCTTGATTTGTTCATCTCAAAGCAGACCTTCCATTGCCGGCGCTTGCCGAATCGGGCGACAACTTTCTTCAACACACTTTCTTGTAATGCATTAAAATGAGTCGCAAAAATAGGGAAAAACTGCAAAAAAGTGTCATGGTCACCTTTTTTTATTTCCCACTTCCCATTTTATCATCACTTCTCCACGGCCTCTATTGCCAGAGACTTTGAGCCT